CTGGTTGTAGTAGAGGTGGTTGTGCTGGTTGTAGTAGAGGTGGTTGTAGTAGAGGTGGTTGTACTGGTTGTTGTAGAGGTGGTTGAGCTGGTGGTAGTGCTTGTTGTTGTAGAGGTAGTTGTGCTTGTTGTCGTAGAGGTGGTTGTACTGGTTGTTGTAGAGGTGGTTGTGCTGGCTGTAGCAGAGGTAGTTGTGCTGGTTGTTGTAGAGGTGGTTGTGCTGGTTGTTGAAGTGGTTGAGCTGGTGGTAGTACTTGTTGTTGTAGAGGTGGTTGTGCTGGTTGTTGTAGAAGTGGTTGAGCTGGTAGTTGTGCTTGTTGTTGGCGAGGAGGTAGTGCTGGTTGTTGTGCTTGTTGTGGTAGAGGTAGTTGAGCTGGTTGTTGTAGAAATGGTTGAGCTGGTAGTAGTGCTTGTTGTTGAAGAGGTGGTTGAACTTGTGGTGGTGCTTGCGGTTGTAGAGGTAGTTGAACTTGTGGTTATGATAGTAGTTGAAGAGACAGTTGAACTTGCAATTGTAGAAAGTGTAGTAGAATCACTAAATTATATAGAAACTTGAAGAAATGTTTAGCTAGAGAATAGTATATCTTACGTTAAATTGTTTATCGTAGCGGACGGGCCTAAATTATATGAAATGTAAAATATGTTTGTATCCTGTATCGGCAATAGTTTCTACGGATAATTTATGTAAGTAGGAAATTGGGATACTAAAGCCACTTAGTAATAGTTGTAGCTAACTCCAAATAGACAAATCGATCGATTTCCATCGATTAAAGGAGATCATCGTTTCGAAGGCTATAAGCTATATATTTTAATGTTTATTAACGTTGGAAAAACAGTTCATTTTATAGAAAGCATATAATGAAACCGATAGTAGTGGTACCAATATGCAACTCTGGTCGGATCATAAATAATAGCTAATTTCGAAATTTAAATTAGATATTTAATAAATCTAAATGAAATTGTGAGTATTTTACTCTAAAGATTAACAGAGAACTTGTACAAATTCATTCGAAAAGAAAAAAAATTAATACTTGAAAAAATTCATTTTCATAGGTCAAAATCTATCTTTGATTTCTGATAAGATTGGGACGAAACTAAGTAAGCATGCGGGAAAAAAAATCGAGAAAGAATATAGGCGATTCATAAACATAATATTTACACTTACATTTATTCTTAAAATAGTAAAATTCTACTCTAATTTTCTTTATTCAAAATTAAACTTCTTATCTATACTATGCTTACTGTTGGTTGAAAGAGTTGTTGTTATTATTATTACTGATTGATTGATAAATAGAATAGAAGAATCTAGGTTAAATTCAATTAAAACTGAGTTATTATTATAGATAAATAGTTGACATGTATCATTTATTTGAAAATAATTTGCAGCAATAATTAATCCATTCAATTTTGCCATTTGACATATACATTGTTCTTCTGTTATATGTATTAAAGTATTACTGGTATTACCAATCACAAAATAATCATCTATTTTACCGAGTCTAACAGATTCACCAACAAAAAATAACGACAAGATAACTAGTATCCAAAACATGTTTTAAGTTGTTTACACCATTGTAGACTTTCTCTACATTTGTATAAACAACTTGTGTTAGTCGTTTTTTTTTTCTTTAATTTTCTAAGATTCTGCCTCGAACTTCAATTCAATATTTCATCATCAGTAAATTAAAACACCATACATTTTCTTTGAAGTGTTTTTCCCAGAAAAAAATGCTTATGACTACACTAGACAATAACAATATATATAATTACATTGAAACAATTACTATGGAAGTAAAATGTGAAATACGAAACAGATGCTACAACATCCTAATAATGTTTGTACGGATGGCGGAGTGCATATTTCTACTCCTAACACTTCAATACAGTTTTTAGTTTATGTTTTACAGGAGATCTATTGTTAATAGTTAAGACAATATGCTTGTAGTTCTTATTTTTTCAACACTTCTTTTAATGGATAGAATTTTTTTTTTAAATATTTCCCAAATATAATTGTTGAGAATACCAGTAAATATAATTATTCACTATGTATCAGTTTACGATGAAATTAAAGCAAAATTTATATATAACAATAAGATTTCTTTTCTATTATCTATATGATATCAGATTATCTTTTTTTAAACAATGAATAAAAAACTCATTAGATAAAAATGAATTAGAAGATCATGGGTTTTTAAAGTTTACTTCAGTATATTTGCTTAATTATTTTTTTTTACTTTTTTAACGCTTCATACATCATAGAGATGACGTATTTCTTTTTTTTGTTTTTCTTCTACTTTCTAATTAACATTTATTATATTAGTAAACAGAATAAAAACTAAACATATTTGACTAAAGAATTTTATATTGATTGTTATTATGTGTTGTATTCGTAACTAAATATCTATTTATATCTAAAAGTCTTTTGTTAGAATAAAAAAAATTGTTTATAATCACTTCATGACTGTAAAAAATATTCACATAAGTAACTGAGTATTATCAATCAAATTCACTTGTACAAAACTTTTTCTGTTAATGAAAAAAATATATATGATAAAATTCACTACAAATG